CTTTTATGAGCTCTATGCAAGATTCTGTTTGTGGACTGTAAACCTACAGAAAATGATAACAAAAGGTCAACAATGGGGCTCATCTAAGTCCATGTTATTCTTGAAATTTAGATTTTATTCTCTGAATGAACAATTAAAAAAAACATATACTAAATAACAGACACTCCATTTTCTTTATAAATGATCATTTTAAATGTAAGAAACTTAAACTTAGCTTTTAAACAGCCCTGCTAAGATTGGCAACCCGTCCAGGGTTTACCTTGCCTCACCACAGGCTTACCCATATAGTCATTTGATTTTGGGGTTGTTTGGGTTTTCTTTGTATTTTTGTAGGTTCTTTACCTTACAATATAAAGCACCTTGTTGCTGGTATTTGGTGCTGTATAAATAAAACTGAATTACACTGGATAGGGCCTATCCAAGCTACCCTCATTACCCTGGTATAGACAAGTGGAAGAGAATGAAGTTCTAAAACATGAAATGTAACAACATAAAAATATCTCCCTCCTGCCCTAAGACAATAAATCAATAAACTGGGCCATTTTCCAGTTGAATGGAAAATAAATTCAGTCATTACATCTAATAAAAGAATGCTCAATATCCATATAAAGGAACAAAGAACAACTCAAGATAGAAACAAAACAAAATGGCATAATAGCTATAATTAAAATTTAATAAACATGTATCTATCTTGTTTATTAAAGAAGAGCATCTATTTGACAAGAATACTGATGCTGTAGTTGGAAATGAATCATATATAAGTCTCTATTCCACCAAACTGCTTCCTGGATCTCAAATAACATTAAGTGATTGATTTCTGTATGACTTTATCAGTATCTCATATTGTTGGATTTAACCTAATCTTTTTTGCACTGCTGCTTCAGTTCATTGAGGTTTGCTGACATTTGTGTATGTACAGCTTGCTTGAGGTCCCGCTACACAGTCGAGGTCTTGTCTGATTGGGCCACTGCAGCCTCTTGATTCATTGCTGGTGTGTTTGGGATCGTCACCCTGTTTAAGCCAAGTTTTAGCTTTTGGACAGATGGCTTTACATTTGGCTGTAGAATACTTTGTTACGCAGGAGAGTGCATGGCTGACTCAGTGACTACAGATCCAGTGGCTGAACAACAAGCCCAAATCATTCCCTTTCACCACCGCACAGGCAGTTGGTATGATTTGTTTGTGTTGGTTTGGTTTTCTCTGAACATGGGGCTATGAGTTGCGGACAAATATCCCCACTTTGGTCTTATTTGTCCAAAAAGCATTGTTCATGTGTTTTGTCCAACTTTGCAAACCTAGCTGTGTGGCTGTGTTCTTTTTAGAGATGGGAGGCTTTCTCCTGGAAATCCTTCCAACCATCCACACAGTTTCTCAGGGCATTGCCTGATCTGACTCTTGGGAAAATTGTCTTGATGGACCTGTGTGGTCCTCCTCATGTGGGTCCAGTTAGGTTTTTGTTGTGTGATTTTTTTGCTCCTGCCTTATGTTATGTTTACATTAACACCGCTGCATTTGGGTTTTTTGTCTTGCTTTCCGAGCCTCACATTTGGATCCCACTCTGCCTGCTACACAGCGGAGCCTCGACGATAAGTGTATGACAGTGAGTGCTCAATACTTCTAAAGATGATCAAACGAAAAAGACAAAAGACATAGAGAGGAGGGAAAATGTCTTTTCACAAAATGTGATTTTATTTATTTCAAAGTGATGTCATTAAATATAAAGTGGTACAGCAGCTGATACAAAAGAAAAAGTCATGAGACCACAATACATAGTCAAAATGCTGGGTTTGCCTATGTAGGTACTCAGTTAATTGTAGTCTAACGACGATACCTGTTTCTAAACTTAACTCTGTATTATTAATGTTTACGTTGGTGAAATACTGCAGTTTATGGTCACAGTGTTCAGGTTAAAATACAATGTGATTGTGTGTTTGTTGAAGTGATTCAGAATAGGATTTTTTCAACCTTATTAACATCAACCTCATATCCTCATGCTGATTTCTGGAAATTCAGAGCTAACATATTACATTTAGACACCAATTCTGCCTGATGTTTTGTTTTTGTTTTGTTTTTTTAATGTTGATTGGGATGTTTCCAGGCTTCTGGTATTAAGAGTTAAAATAAATAAAGAAGCCATTTTTAAAGTGAGTTGAGTTCATTTCAGGACATGTTTGAGCAGTGTGTGGTTCTTCTTTAATAACTCAGTGTTTCAGTCACATGTTAACAAGTGAAAGAAAAGAAAGATTGTTTACGCATTTGCTTCTTTTGTCACTTTAACCCCCGATGTCCTTACTCTTGTTTTTGCAGACATTTGGAGTTATAAATAATATAAATATAAATCATTATGTGAAAATTATTTCCTTACAAAGTTTTTAAACAGTTTTTGGATCCAAAAACACTTTATTAGCCTGTGATGATCCAAATAAACCTCCTAAAATAACAAGTGAGACTCTGACACTTAAATAAAGTGCGCAACAGCTTGTCAGCTGATCTGATCCAGCTTTTACTGACATGAGTCATTGTGCTTTAAGTCAAAATGAAAGTGAAACTAAAACACACACGGCAACAAACAACAAGAAAAAAAAACCCAACAGATGCATGCTGACTGGCCAGTATATCATGATATCACTGATAGGAGGAGGAGTCTTGTACACAAGTTATGTTGTGTTATTATAGAACTGAAGCAAAACGCAGTATCGACGCGTTGAAGCGAATAAAAAGCTACCAACGGGAAGAAGAGGAGACAACAGGAGTATGAACTTGATCTTTTAGTATGTTTTGCTGTGTTTCTGTGTCATTCTTCTTTGTTTTGTACTGCAGTTGATATTTATTTATTATTATTACGTTTTTATCTCTTTCTTAAAATGCCTTTGTAAAGTAGCAGGACTAAAATGTTACATGTCCGATAATGAACACGTTTGATCACAGTCTGTAAAGAGGATGTGACTGGGATTAACAGTTTGAACTCTTCGTGGTATTCTGCTTCATCAACTGCAACCCGTTCTCACTCCCAAAGCGTAACATTTTACGCTAGGTGACAAATCGTCACCATATTACGTTTTCGGCTACCCACCACGTTCCTAAATGACGACCTCGGAAAAAGAGGAAATATGAGAACCGTCTGGACTGAACCTACACATGTTCGCTCTTTTTCTTCAAATCGCTTAGAAACACGCTATTTAACATCATTATAGTCCTGGTTAAGGTCAGGAATAAGGTTATGGTCAGGGCTAGGGATAAGGTTAGGTTTAGGGCTGGAATACAGGGCTGGAACGTCTACTACCGCGGGAGCGTCATTGCACTGGATTCCAGCCATAACCCGCCGCGTACCATAAGAACGCCGAAGGTCTCCTTTCGCGTTCCTCAGGAACGCCGCGGGACGTGACAAAACGTCTGACATGTTACGCCTCGGGAGTGAGAACGCTCTGGCTTCATCCGAAACATTCAGAGTGTTGTTTGTTCTTCCAGCTGATCATCAGTTGATATAATTGATGTGATAGAAAGTGGACAGATCGCCGATCGCTCTCTTACAAACAAGTAAGTAGACGTTAAAACATCCTGTGTGAACATGTGTGCTCCTGTTGTTTTTCATCAGATTGGAAACAGGATAAAAAACAAAACAAAACAAATATCTCACAGAAAAAGGACAGAGAAAGACAAACAACTTTTAGTTCATGTGATACAAAACATGAAAACCCAAAGGGGGTTTTATGAAAGTGCGCAACATGAAGTAAAACAGCGGCATAGCGGTGTCTACAGTGTCAATAAGATTATAGCTATAATAATAATAATAATAATAATAATAATAATAATAATAATGATTTAGTTGTTGTTGTTGTCAAAAACACGAGGCTTGTGGCTTTTCCTATCATAAAAAACAGAAAACTGAATGTTTATGTGTCAAAATAAAAGACGCGCACCAGATAAGAAGTTGCAACGCGGTTTGCGTCCATATAAAAAGCACTGTTTTTGTCCCTAGAGTGGGATTTTCACGCATATTCTGCACCACATCTCTGTGCGTTCATCATTTGTTTGAAGCCAGCTCACCTCCTGCAACCACTTTTCCGAGAATACGCGCTTCTTTTGTGGTTCGGACTCCTTCTGACATTTCTTTAGAGGTGGAGGAACACCAGAGTAATTGCTTACCGAGCTTGCTTCTTCGACATCTTTAAGAGTTCTAAACAAATGTCTGTCCTCCTCCAGAAAATCTTATGTACGCAAACACGCGTTGCAACTTCTTTTCTGGTGCGCGTCTTTTATTTTGACGGCGAATGCGCACCTGCGGATATGTGCACCTCTGGAAATAAGAAAACGATATTAACCATTTAGCAAATTGTTTAAAAAAAATCAACAAAATAAATCAAAATAAATCTGAATCTGTCTAAAAAGTTCATTAAATATATTTTTGTGAAATTTCAGGAAGGAGATTTAAACCGACAGTGAGTAGTGACCTTGATTGTCCCTTTGAGGCCTTCTGAATTTACTTCATTTAATTTTCTGGTGAGCACCGATCGTTGTTGCCTAATGTTCAGTTTTGTTGTCTGTGAGGTGTGATGAAATGAAAATCAATAACACTGATATTTTTTCTTTTTAAATTTCACAGGTCACTAAGTGTAATGCACCCAGTAAAGTCAACAGGAAAACTTTACATGCTCTTCCGTGTTCGTAGAGAGGCGCTCATGGTTCGTAGAGACAGCTGCCAGAGACGGAGAAACGCAAGAACAGGTAGAAAACTAAGCCTAAAAACATCTAAACATGTTATTGGAGTAATACTGAAAACACACTTCACTCTGATGTCAACAGACAATTTTACATCTTGTAGCTGAAAGTGTGCACAGAACAATGATCATGATTTGGATCATAGACGAACATTAACTCTTCATGTGCTGGTGAGCTGCACTGAAACTGTGGCTGCAGACTCTGTCAAGTGGGGTCACCAGTGGTTTTTAAGCTGGTGAAAAATGTGAAATATTTCACTTTTATTTTTATTGTCTTTTTAAAAAAAGATATTTATTAAAACGTTCTTCCTCTGATTCATTCTGACAGAGAGAAGATGATCAGGATCCTTCTGTTTCTCGGCCTGGCGTCCTCTGTCTGTGAGTGTCCACCTTTAGACACAGTTATCTTTTGGTAAATTCAAATAAATAAATAAATAAAAAAGGATAAATGAACACACAATAATGAGGTGGTGTCTTCTCAACAGGGACGTTTGTTTTGAAAAGGACTGCGACTGTCTTTGAGGCCAAGGAGGACGACAACATCACCATCAGATTGGACAGTCAGCTCCAAGCTGACGTGTCTCTGGCTGACGTGATGTGTGTTTTCCACTCAGACGTCACTAAGATTTTGTTTAAAATGATCAGAGGAGTGGAGGACTCTGAGTCTCAGCATGAGCAGTTTGCAGGACGAGTTCAGACTGACAGAGATGCTCTGAGAGGAGGACGAATCAGACTTCATCTGTCCAGAGTCACAGCTGAAGACTCTGGAAGCTACAGGTGTGACGTGGCTGCCGACTACGACGACAGCCTGAAGAGATGGAGGCTCGAGACAAATGGTAAGTTGACTCCTGTATCTCTTTAGGACTGGGCTGTATTTATATTGCAGATGAACAAGCATTAATTCAGATTTTCATCCTCAGAAAACTTTGTTTTGAGTGTGGGTCGAACTTCTGATGGAGACAGCAGTGATGTCTCACTCAAACCTCCAATGTTTGGACCACCAAAAGGTAAATCAGATTTGAGGAGCTGCATTCAGAGAGTGTTTCAATAAATTTTATTTTTATTCGTCTAAAAAGTTCAGTGTCATAAATTTATAGTAAATTGTGGAATTATTTAATTTAAAAATGTCTAGTTTTCATTACGGTTGTGATAACCTCCACAATGATTTGCACTGACAGGAAAAGTTATAGAAAAAACTATAGAAATGTAATAAAGATAAAACTTAAAGTAACATTCAAATATTTATTTTGGTGTGGAACATTTCTCATCCATGAAGAAGATGGTCAGAAATCTTTTTGTAAAACACATCAATTAAAACAATAACTTCCTTTTTTCACTGAATAAATCAATATGTCACAATTTAGATTTCTCTTTTCAGGTTTTCCGTCTCTGTACATGAATGTGAGGAAAATAAAGGTGGACAAAATCAAGATTTTGAGTGCAGGTGATGCTGAAGGTAATTCAGGAAAATGATGCAGGGGGGGTTTGGGGCACATACAGTACAAGCCATGCATGTGTTACAGAAATTAGAGGTTACAGCATGCAGGGTGAGAACTCATTACTGTATGTACTGTTTTCAAAAACAATCCTTTGTTTTCTAGATCCACAACTGGCGGGAAGAAAGACAAGTCAGGAGGAAACGGTGCTGTTTGTTCTGGCTGTAGTTTTAATTATTGCAAATGCAGGAACCATCGTACTTTTAATAAAATTTCTTCATGATGGTTTAAAACGGTACGTTGGCAAACTTTTATTGCATCTACATGTTTGACTATGTCTGCATTTGATTTTGCCTGACTGTGGTGTTGTGTGTTGTATATTACAGATCAACAACATGATGAAACACCGCTACTGTGTCCCTGATCAAATGAGTCAAACCAACAACGACTTTCTTATCTGCTCTAGTTTTGCTAATGTTAAAAACAAACTAACAAATAAACAAGAGCAAAAAAAAAGCTCACTATAAGAAAATTACACTTAGAAGATGAAAAAAGACCAAAAAAAAAAAGAATCACAGATGTTAAAATGCTGATTCTTTGCTTTCGACAATCTTTTTCAGTATTTGTGGCTTTTCTAAATTGAGCCTTTGAACTAAGAGTTGATAGAAATGATATTTCAGCAGCAAATCATTCTACATTTAGTGATTTAGGGTTTAATTTCCTCATATATAACTAGGGGATGGGTACCGGTGTCGTTCTGACATAAACGGTAGTAACCAGACCGAAAAGCAGCGCACATTTCGGTGCTTTATTTCGGTGCTTTTTTTTGTGCTTTTTTCCTGAGCTGTGATACACTTCTAGCCAATCATTTTACGTTTCCGAGGATAGTAGGCGGGGCCAGGTACGTACGTTCTTTTAGGCAGAGCTACAGATTAAAAATGTCCAAGGCGAAGCGGTCAAAAGTCTGGCTGTACTTCACAGCAAAAGATGCAAACTCAGCACTGCAACAAGTGCTTTAAGACTTGATACTGTCAAAGGAGGTAACTCCTCAAATCCGATGAAACACCTGGCGACGCATAGCGTTTTTTTTTAAAACCAAGAAATGCGCTGTATTTGATAGCTTGCTGCGAGACCTCACACCGAGCGCATCTACTGCGGTGTGGTGCCTGTTATCGGACCCGGAGTTAGCAACATCCCCCAAAAACACGAAGAGGAGAGTCCTGGCCCCTAGCCCTGCCAGTGTAGCAGAAATGATGACGGATGATGATGCAGCAGCAGCCGTTCTTCTCTGCGTGAGTAGCTTAATGTTGTTCGTGTGTAATTTACGTTGAGTAGGCTAACCACGTTATTACATTAATGCATGTAAGGTGAACTAGCAAACATCATCATAGCTACATGCGGCTGTCTTCTTGTTTGATGGCAGATACTCCCTTCACCCTGGCCAAAAAGGCTAAAATGACCAAAGAAAAAGTAGGGAAACAGTAGAACATGAGAGGTTTTTGGACAAAGTTTGTGTTTTTTCCATTGTTTAAGCACTGCTTCCAGCCAAGAGTGATGACCATATATGCCCCATAGCTGCAGAAAAGGCTAACATTGTTATCTTTTTACAAAAACCAGCTGAACATGAGAGGTTTTTGGACCAATTTTGTGTTCTCCATTCTTTAAGCACCGGTTTGAGCACCGTTTGAGCACCGGCACCGTTTCAAAAGTACCGATTTGGCACCGGTATCGGATAAAACCTAAACGATACCCATCCCTATATATAACGCATATGCGGTATGATGTATTTTTCTCACTTAAAAATACTCAAATGAAGATCAGTGTATATCATGGGGATAACAGCTGTGGGGTTTAAGGAAGAAAGAACAGATGTAATTTTCTGTACCATCACTTCAAAGTCCTTTTCTGTATCTATTACCACATTGTGTTCATATGCAGAGATAAATAACTTACTTGTTATCAAAAGGGACTTTGATATATAGTTTCATCAGTTAAATTGCACAAGGCATATTGTACAGGGTACAGCCGCCATGAACGGCACTAATGCTAACTTTATTTGAAACATCTTGTCTGTAGATATTTTGATTCTGTTCTTGAAATAATATTTTGACTTTTAGAAATGTTGTCTTATTCTCAAAATGAAAAATGTAAAAAAGAAAAGTTGTCAGTCAAGTCCCCACAGTGCTGCGTGGTAGACTGCTGCAACAGCTGCCAGCACATGTGTTCTTAAGCTTCCTATTTTTCTGGTTCTTTTTGTCACACTCTTGGCAGTCAAGACTCTTTGCTAGATCATCACTCTGGCAGTGCATATCTTGTTTGCTTTGAAGTGAACACAACATGGTTTCAGAGCTGAAGCTAACTGGAGAACTAAGCAGCTATCAGAGATCAATGATATGAACAAAACTGGGGAACAGAATCCGCATTGCAGTTTGATGTGAATCATGGACAAGGCACTGCCCCCACACTTCCTGGACTATGGTGTGACCAATTTTTTGAGTGGACAGAGACATTAATCTGAGAGGCAAGAAGAAAGGTGGAGGGATTCTACGGTTTCTCAATATGAAGGGCTTTAATAATTTGGCATTTATAACACAATGATTTCCCTGCTTTTGGGTTAAATAAAGCATATTTTATCTCACCTTATTTTTTATTCGGTGAATAAACTCAAAGACAGGAAGCAGCATTAACTGTTAATAATGATTACAGTTTAAAAACCAAGTGCAGTCAAAAGGAAGCATGTGTGTGAACTGTGAAATATTTTTTCCAAATGGGACTTCACTGTATAAGAGTATCATATGGTCATACTGATGCATAAACAGAAAATAAATCCTTGTATCTCCTACTATTAAGTAAACATAACGAGATTGTGATATTTTTCCTTAGTTTACAACATTAGTGTCTAATTTCTAAAGAAATAAAGCACCTCTTATTGTTATATTGTTGCCCCAAGTAAAATAAAGTAATTTTTTTACAGAGAGCATTGACTTGCTCTTGCTTTAGTGTACAGGTTGTGCACCAAAAGCACACAGTATTGTTCTTAAATGGGTCTTAAAGGGGGCATGAAAGCTCCACAGGCTAATTCACACCATTGAGCCATGCTCTAAACAACTGGCACAGATATAACTCTGTCTATGAAGCTAGATTTAAGAAAAGGGTGCTTGAAGTTCAAGTTTTAAAAACAAGTTTAGCACCATATTGTGCTAGTAAAGAATGAGACATCACCTGTTTGGCTCGTTCTTTACTAGCTAATAGACTTACATTAGTTTATGTTAGCTAAATCTTATCCAAAAGATCAGATTAAACACACAGACATACAAAGATATATTTGCCCTTTTATAGATCTGTATCTGCGCACTGTTTAGTATAGACACACAGATGCTTTTTTTTTCATGCAGCTCCTGCTTTCGACGCTCGAGTTTAAGTTCAGTGAAGTTTGGCTCTCGTCAATTAATAAATTAATAAATTTCTTATTTAGTCACAGCAATATATTGCGTTTGCTTCTTAACCTCATAACTTTGAGCCATCCACCTTTGGCAAAATATGTTTTTAGTGTGTGTTTATGTAAGTCTTTTATCAAGTAAAGAATAATTTTTCCTTCTATTGATGAGGATTGTATGCTGTGAGAAATTAGGAGCTGTGAGAAATCAGCAAATGAAATTTAGGAGAAGAGGTTCCAGGGATTAGATCAAATATTGGATTTTCTGATCTGCTACAGAGGTGATAAAAATTATGTCTAAATAGTCACATTTTATTAACACATTTTATAGAGAATGTTTTACTTACATGTTTGTAGCAAACCTGCACTGATCCATCTGTGCCATTTACCCCCTTATCTTCTTATGCTGAGGGTTGGTATGTCGATGATAGTTGTCGTTTTTTTGTTCTTTGCCCACCTTTGCGTGGTAATGACTGCACAATGTTAGAAAGAAGCCCCAAATAATCAGATGACCCCGGTATGCATAGGGAATTTGCGATGGTGAAAAGAAAAACCTCCCTTTTAACAGGAAGAGACACCAGTTCAGGGAGGGGCCAACCACGGTGAGGGAAAATAGAAGGAATACTTAACTTTATTTTGTTTTAATCAAATAAAAAATATTTTCACTTAATCTGTACTCTTTTTGTTGCCATATATTCTGTTCCTACATGCCTGTTGTATTTTGTGTTAGAGTACTTGGCGATAGAAGAGCAGATGGAAGAATGATGCAACCTACAACAGCAATGCTCAGTAGCTAGTGGATCTGAGGGCAGAACACAACAACCTCCCTGAACAGGGTCCAGTAACCATCACAGTGGCAGATATCCAAGAAAGGATCTCTAGTATGAAGAGTTGGACAGTACCAGGCCCTGACATGATTCGTGCCTACTGGCTGAAGAAGCTGAATGCACTCCATGAGCATCTGGCAGCACAAATGAACCAGCTGCTAGTTGACAAGAGAATGGATAACTGGAGGCCGGATGGTCCTGATCCTCAAGGACCCCCAGAAGGGACCGGTCCCATCCAACTACCAACCAGTAACCGGCCTCAGTACCACATGGAAGCTCCTGTCACACATCATAGCAGCAAAGATGAACAGGCATATAGGTCAATAAATGAGCAGGGCAGAGAAAGGGATTGGCAAGAATACCAGAGGCCCAAAACACCAGCTACTGGTAGACAGAGCAGTCAGCCAAGACTGCAAGACCAGACTGACCAACCTGTGCACTGCCTGGATTGACTACAAGAAAGCCTATGCCCCACACCTGGATCCTGGAATGCCTAGACCTATACAAGAGCAACAGGACCCTAAGAGCCTTCATCAGGAAATCAATGGGCATGTGGCGGACAACACTAGAGGTCAATTTTAAGTCCATAGCACAAGTCACCATCAAGTGTGGGATCTACCAAGGAGATGCTCTGTCCCCACTGCTGTTCTGCTTAGGCCTGAACTCCCTCAGTGAGATCATTGACAAGACAAACTACGGGTACAGACTACAGAATGGAGCAGTTGTCATCCACCTCCTGTACATGGACGACATCAAGCTGTATGCAAAGAGTGAACAAGACATCGATTCACTGATCCACGCCACCAGGATATACAGCAATGACATCGGAATGGGCATAGAGGACAGCTATAAGTATCTGGGGACCCCATAGGTAAATGGGAACCATGAAGAGGCAGCTAGGAAAGCTGCAACTACCAAGTACCTGCAGAGGGTCAGGCAAGTCCTGAGCAGTCAGCTGAATGGTAAGAACAAGCTCCGGGCTATCAACACCTACGCCCTGCCTGTGATCAGGTACCCTGCTGAGATAATAAGCTGGCCAAAGGAGGAGATAGAGACCCTGAGGCTGTATGCTAAACAGAAGGAAGGAGAAAATGTTGTAACTGGAAACCTGGTTGTATAAATGTTGTATAAATTTGAGACATGAGACTTGATGCAGCCATCCTTTAACTCTGTTTTTTGGGTTTTAATGGAAATAATTATTCATGGATTCAGTTAAAACGGAACAGAAT